TTTTAAACTACTTTGTAAATATAATTATAATTCAAATACTTTATTAGTTAATAAGAGACATAAGTTATTATTTTTTAGCGCAAATTGATGTTTAGAATCTTTTCTACCTTGTTGATATTAAAAGAAAAGAAAATATGTAACTGATATTTTTTTTATATAATAATTTGCAATGAAGCAGTCAAGTTTTAGTTTTTTTAACTTTTTTTTTTACACTTTGTATGTGTAAAGAATTAACAAAATATGTCCAAATTTTAAAAAAATATGATAATAAAAAAATGCTTATGGAAATCAATAGATTATTCTGTCTCTGTTCTCTTTTGGAAGAGATTTCTTGTGTTTTCTAAAACCTAAACCAAAGTTTTAACATCATTGTGGATGAGATGAGATGTGACGGATCAAATTTTTTTATTACAAAAACAATTCATATATATATATATATATATATATATATATATATATATATATATATATATATATATATATATATATATATATATAAATTTTAATCAATTATATCTTTTACCTTTGAATTATTATTATTATTTCACAAATTTTCTCATTTTTTTTTAGATTTTATTATTAAGTTTTTAATTGTCATATATTTTATTATACAATTTTTTTCATCTCTCTCTATATATATAAACGATATTATTTTATAAAATTTGACGAGATATTAATGTTTTAGACATTTAAGTATTTTGTTATACATTTAATGTATTGATAAAATATCTAAAAATAGAAAAACAGAAGGATAAACTGTGATAAAAAATTAAAATGAAAATTCAGTGATAAAATATGTAATTAAATCTTAAAAATAAAAAAATTTATCATATTAATTAGTAACTTACACTTTTATTGACTGAAAGTATATAATTCATTCTATATCTTTTTTATTATTAAATTTTTTTAAATAATATATATATAAAATTTGTAATAATACCTATTCTCTCTAATACACTATTTGCACACGAAAAAGAGAGTTTATTTTTTATTTTAAAGATATTAAATAAATTACATATTACATTTTTAACCTTGTTAATTTGGTTATTTGTCTTACTTCATTAAAATTAAATCAAATTATCTTTATTTCTTTACTAAGATCAGTCTAAAGTATTCAACTTTTATTTTTTTTCATTAGATATAGTAATCTTAAGTTGCTTAAAACTAAATTATTTCGCAAAAGAACAAAATATTAATTGAGAAGAAGCGGAGATTAGCAATGAGACACACGTTCTGGCATTAATTTGTTTTACTAAATATTTAAAGAATAAACTTGTTTTTAATATAAAAAGTTTAATAAAACATAATTAAACCATAAATAAATTGAAGTCAAATTCCACAGAAGTTAAGATGATGTTTTGCATTCCACCATTTCGTATTCAACATTATCTTTTGGTAGAGATTAAACCTAAATTTTAAGTGCTTCTAGTTGACACAAATCTTATCCATAAACTGCAAGCAAAGGAAATTGTGCATGTACTTGTCACTGACTCCAAATTGTAAGCCATAAAATGATACAAAAAATGCCAAAAGTTTACTTTCTTTTGTCAAAATTATTACGACATTGATTGGTGATGAACCATATTGAAACCCTCCATCAATTATTATCTGAACCATTTGATGACCCCCCAACTCCACCATCATCTACGTGCTTAATTTGTGTACAAGAGGGTGTTCATCACAACTCCAATCTTCATCAATGCCACACAGGGATTTGTCTCACACCACTAATTGTTAATTTTATTCAACCCTCAAATCAAACCAAGTGATGCAAAAGTGATTGTGGAAGCCTTGTGGCTTTAATTTATTCACCATTTTTTGGAGCTCTACAATGCACACATCACCATCAGTGGTGATAACATGTAAACCAAACAATACCTTGGTCCTTCAACGCAATGTCCAACCATCATTACTATTTAATACCCACAAACTAAATCAATATTGACGCTGGGGATAGGCCATGATGACGATCACCAATAATGTTTTTATAGTCAAATAAAAATATCTACGGCTCAATAAATGTTCGTGACACATAAGAATGTGATGCATCAACGTATTGTTTCTCTAAAACTTTGAAAATTAATTAACTAGTTCCATCATCACCAAGTCTGTTATTTGACCTCTAAACAATTTGACGTAGTTACGAAATAGAGTACAAAAAAAAGAGAGAGTAATTCTTATAGGATTAAATTATAGCCTTAATTCAAGATCTATATAGAGTGCGTTTGTGACTAAAAAAATGTGTTTGGGACAACTATATATAAAAATTATATTATTTCAATAATTGATTGCAATTAAAATCAATCTTTTAATGAACCTGGAAAAAACAATGATATAATATTAGATTATTTCAATAATTGATTGTAATTAAAATCAACTATATATAAAAATTAGATTATTTTAATCATATGAACCTGGAAAAAACTATTATTTCATAAATTCAAGCTATTAATCCGAATATATAAATTATTTTATAAACAATTATTTTTTTGGAAAAAACAAAAAATTATGATTTCAGCTGTCTGAAATATGTTTTTTGAGGACAAACCGTACTTATAAATCGTTGGTTCAACTTAAACTCGCTGTAGTTTTTTTTTAATTAATTATATTTGAGTTTTGTGAATATAACAGGTAATTAAAAAAATATTTTCGTAATTTTTAGAATAACATAAATATGATTAAAGATATTAAAATGAATAAAAGTTAATAAATATGTACGACAATCTATAAATTAAGGTGAATTATATAGGTTAAAAAGTTTACGATCTAAATTTAATTTTATTTCATAAGCTAGGTTTAAATTAGGCCAACTTCTATGTTTTGGGGTTGATTCATTTTTTTATTTATGTAATAATTAGTTTTCTTAAATTAAAAATGATATTATTTAGATAAATAAAAAAAATGCACGCTTTATAGTTTGTATACCAAATTGTATTTATAAATTAAAACAAATTTTATTTATGTTACTTAAATTTTAAAAATACATATTTTATGTTTAAAATTTTTAGGATTTGAAATTTTATTTTTTCAAATTGACTTAAATTACTCATTTTATATTAAAATGAGTTAGGATTACCGGACCTTTTTTTTTGAAATTATTTGATTTTACCTCCAATTATCGTGAACTTTAAATTTAATCATTTAAAAAAATCTAGAACCGGAATACTTAGTGATGTGAAATTAATAAAAACAAATTTAACATGCGAATTATAAATTTAGAGTTACCCACAAACATGAGTTATTATTGCAAAGTTAATATTTTTTTTGAGTTTTACCCAACTTTATTCAAAATTTGGAGGGAGACATTAACCTTATCATTGAGAAGAGTTTTCAAATGTCAAAGAAGTTGAAATGCAAAGTAATTCAATTCAAAGCAATCAAATCCCACCCAATTATGAAATAACTTGCTTCGATTTTTATTTATTAATTTTATCTATTTTGATAGAAGTTCAAAACAAAAATGCAATTTTGTTCTTGTAACTTGATTTTTATTTTTATTTTCTTCATAAATTCATTTTCATCTTCTTAATTAAGATAGTAATTCACAAAGACAAAATAAAAAATAAAAATTATAGTTTAGTTTTTAGAGTGAAGATTAATACCAATGTGATAAAAATGCTGGTTAACTAATACATTGAATATACTTTATGAAGTGTTGATAAGTATTCAAAACTAAACTATTAAATAATTTCAATGTATACCATTCTTTTCGGGTTCCCATGCATTTTCCGTTGTTTCAAACGAGGAGATTCACCTTTTTGGACTTGAACGCATAGAATTGTTACATGTGAAAAATATGCTGAGAGGAAAAAAATAAAATAAGGAGTTTAGTAAGATGTAAAATAGAGGAAAGTCCAAAAATCTAGGTAAATTGAAGATAAAATAACCTTTTAATCAAAGTTATTATATTATTATTCGTTTTTATTTTTTAATATACTTTTTTTATTCTTGACAATATAATCTATTATCTTACTAACATAATTTATTTATATTGTGAACACTACTATATTATCGATATAATTGATTAGTTACAATAATTTCTTATAAATTGATTTTTGTATAATAATAATAATAATAATAATAAATAAATATTTTCATTTTTATTTTTATTTTTATTTTACTGAATCACTTTTATTTTATTTTATTTTCATTGTTTTATTTTATTTCCTCTACCAAACGATTGAGAATGTGTGTTAATTGTGACTTGATAGAATCCAAGAGAAGAGACAAGTGATGCATGAATGTTTATAAATTGTTTCAAACCATTATCATCGTTTTCAATGCCAAAAATGTGTGGAAGAAAAAACTCGAAGCCATGGCGGATATCAACAAAACCATTTGGATCATCAAACTTCACTGATTTTTAATATTTACACTTCTCATTTTTTTATTACTAAAATAATATTTAAGAATTGTTTTTTACTAAAAGGTTTTAAGATTTTTTTCTTTAAAAAAGAGTTTTTATTTAATATTAAACTCTATTCTCAATTTTCCCAATCACCAAAAACAATTGAATAATTAATAACTGTAGTAGGTATCATATATTTTCTCTGGTTGAACTGAAGTCATGATGGATAATTTGTGTAATAAATAAGTTTCAATTTTTTATATTCCAATACTATATTTCAATTTTCAAAATTAATAAATAATATTTTTTAACATTTTATAAATAAGATTCTAAAAGACTCTCACTCTTTGATGAAAAAAAAGAAAAGAAAAGAAAAGTCCATTTTTTAAAATACAAATTATTTTCAAAATTGATAGATACTTTCTGTATTATGTAATTACTTTCTGTTCTTATTTTTATTTCACGATGAAACGAGAGAGAAATTTGGACAAAATAAAGAGATAAAAAAAGCATCATATAATAATTTAACACTAATATAGAAGAACCTTTTTCCTTCCTTGGATCAAGTGACATAAGAGCTATACTATTAAATTCACATAAGCAAAACAATTATAGAACTCTCTAAAGATTTTTAGATATACATAATTGTGAATTAGGTGCTGGAATTTAAGCAGGAGGTGGAGAAATTAGAACTCCACAGAGGTGACGTTGGAGGAGAACGATAGGAAGAACAAGAGAATTTTGTGTGACCACTATTCACATTGTTTCTGGGGTTCCGAACCGTGAATGGCACCATATCTTCAAGCAACCCCTGTGAGCCCATGTCTTGAGGAGACTCCAATGAAGTGGATGGCATCACATCCGAAGTAGCATTTGATTGGGCTTCCTGAACATGATCAGCTCTGTGGGCTTCGGATTGGGCCTGTGGAGAGGTGGGCTTGGACTTCTTGATTGGTGGATGGGAATGAGACTGCTGTGGTTGGCCCATGAAGAAATATGGGTAAGCAAAGTGCAAGTGGAGTCCTTCATAGGTTATGATAAGAGTGTCTGGGTCCTCAATGGATCTCTCAACCTGCTTCTTGGCACTGCACCTTGGGTTTGTGCACCTATAGTAACTCCTGCTGGTTCCATGCCATCAAAATTAGTATGAATAATTCAACTTTTTACTACGTCATTATCTTCAACATTGCTATTGGATACTAATTTAGGGGGTTCACAGATCAAAAGCCCAATCCAAAGTAGTTTTTCTTTTTTTTTTTCACAAATTTGACAATTTTTGGTATGGTAAGAATGGGTTTCCTTTCGAAAATCAGCACTCCAATTTTGAGGATACAAGAAAATTGACTGTTAAATTTTCCTTATACCCCTTAGATTTAGATTTAGTGAGGAGAAATTGAATAATATATGAGATCGTATCATGATGTTGGTATGGATTAAAGCAATGATTAATACCATCAAGGTGGGTAATCAATCCCCTTTTAATATGGTTTATTGCATACTTAAAGTAGTAGCAGAACTTGATTCTTGAATCATTTGATTAAGGGACATAGGTAACTACCACTACCACTTGTGCCAACCATTGTTGGTACATCATAAAATTTTAAACTAAAATTTTTACCCTTTTAACTAGTAGTTTAAATTTAACTCTTGTAACTTGGTGGAATGAATTTTATTACTGAGTGATCTTACCAAATTCTTGTGAGAATAAGGGGAGTCAAATATAAAATATATTCTTTTGAAAACATCAGTTCATTAAAATAATATGTTTTGGTTAATTAACATTGGAAATGGATTTTTTTTTCACATTGCATTTAGGTTTTTCTTCTTTTAATATATGAAGTGAGTTGATAAAAAAAAAAAAAAAAAAGTAAGACCGGTAGGTTGTTAATAATTCAAAATTTTAAGTCTTGTTTCTGATAAAACTGAAAATATTGATACAAGAAAAAAGATTGGTACAAGATTTTCCCCGTGAAAAAATCATGTAGAATTTGAACAAAGAAACCTCTGGTAATGTTACTTTGCTAGAGGTGCCATGAAAAGTGCATGATATGTTGAACAATATATATATAGAACTTCTGTTATGCATGTTTGTTGCCTCTATTAAAGTAGCTTTAATCTTAAACTTGTATTTGTCGGGTAATATATGGATCAATGAATAGGCCTCTCACAAATCATAACACAACAACATGGGTATGTTTTGATGAAAAATTGAATGTTTTAGGTTCCTAGGTTAGGCTTAGGTATTTAAATTGGTGATGCAACTGTGAACCCATTTTGTCATATCTTCGGTTACGACAGGACACGAATACCCTAGGAAAACATACTGACATAGTGACGTGTAAATATATTCCTCACCCTCTTACCCTTTCTATATCATCTCTATTACACATCATAGAGTTATCAGATGCATGCAGATGTTGGATACAACGACAATGACAAAGAACCCCATCCCATTGTGAAAATCGCACTACTTGTAACTGTTAATTTTTTCTTAACATGTGGTTGCTAGTAATTACTACGAATTTATATTGGACTTTCAAAATGATTAGTATGTTTTATGTTCAGGTGTAACCAGTGGTACTAGAAAGAATATGAAAGACTGCATAATGTGTTTTACATGGAAGAAAGGATTTCACTCTCCATTTTCTGGGTGAAGAGGAAGTGGTTTTCATTAGGGTGTTTAGGAAAGAGCTTGTATGTTCTTAATTCAATAGATTTCTTTATAGGAAAAAGTTAATTGAGATTCTGTTATAAGCTAAAATCAAATTATGTGAATTAATTTATCAATGAAGTTGGATGAGAGAACTTGGGTAAATTTTAATTTATGAAAAAATAAAATAAAATTGTGTGAACATGTACTGAGCGTAAAACCTTACATGTCCCTTTGTCTTTCAGTGAAAGATTTTTGAAGAAATGCCAAAGTACTGTACATGCATGAGAGGACTGGTTTATGCAAAACTCTGCATCTTTTTTACCTCCTAGCAAATATGTAAAAAAAGTTGAAATCCAAAAGGTGAACAATCTTCATATATCAATTATATAGAAGAAGGAATTTACCTAGGATTTGGGCTATTCTTAATGGATTTCTGTCCATACTTCCTCCACTTATATCCATCATCTCCCATCCCATTGCCAAAGCATTTGATTTTCAGGGTATACTTATTCTCAATCTTACTCAAACCCCTCTCTAGAATGGAAACTCTGAAAAAGAAACAAGAAACATCGATTAAACATGACCAATTCAGGAAACTCAAAGTTAACCAAAGAAAGTAATGCAGAGAAGTCTGAAAACATTTATATACCTGGCTGATGAGAGTGTTGGGAGGTGGTCTCTTTGGTTGGTCACTGACAAAGCATTTTCAATATCTGAGATAGTAGGTCCTGAGTAAATGTTGGAGATGAACCTATTAAAGGCATGGTCACTTGAAGAGGCTTTTGCGATGGGGGGTTGAATTGCCTCCTGTGGCAGCATAAGAAGGGGAGACTCATCATCCAAAAGCTCTCTCACAAGGTCATCATCCTCTGACCCCTCTGACCAAGTGGCCATTACTTCCTCCATCATTGTTTTTGACATGGCTGACTCAACCATATTTATTAGGCCAGGGCAACAAGATCTTGTTGTAGTTATAGGAGTTGAAAGAGGAGGGTGAGGAAGATAATAGGCTAATGAGAAAGGAAAGAGTGGAGCAGATGAGAAAGTGGTTGTGACGTATATGTGGTTTCCCCCTCCTTGACTTTAATAAGTAAGCCAAGCTGTGGCTATGTTTTTGTATGTATTCTACTTTGACTTCTTGGAGATTTCTATTCCAAACAATGTAGTAACATCCTTGGTTAACTGCAGATTGTGTCATCACTCACCACCTCATAATTTGATGGGGCCTTTGTACTGTGCACATGTAGCATGGTAACTTACTAAGTTTGTGTTTGGATGTAGTCATCAGAAATTGGTTCTGATTATAATTGATTTAGTTTATATATGATTTAGCATTGGATTAAGTGGAAGTGGATTATGTGAAAGTATCTTTACTGTAAACATAAATTAATAGTTAAGTTCATTTTAAATTTTTCTCAACTCAAAAACACTTAAAACTGATTCATCTGAACTTCAAATCAATTCTTCAATTTTTTCATGTAAATATTTTTCTAAAATCACTATATTCACCATGAAACCGAAAATACTGAATGAAATCTCTGGCCTTGACTTGCATCGTCACATTTTCGTTGTTCTTTGTAAATTGTAGTGTGTAGTTTTCAATTTTTTTTTTACAAGAACTTGGTGAATCTGATGTATGGCTATGCTTGTAGATTAGTTTTGGGAATTGAAAGGTTGGAGTCCATACAAACATGATATGCTGCAGAACCATTACAAATGTGGGGGGCTTTGACATTTTTAAAATTTATTGTAGTACTGATACGTGTGGGTTATGGTTTTGTTGAAATGTTTATTTTGTCTTGTTACATGATGCGATAGATGCATATCACAGTAGACAGAAGCTACTTGAGGACCCCATTTCAACCGAAGCAAGAGTCAACCTTAAAGAAATATTTATCATATATATTGAAAATACTTTTAGGATACTCTTTGACTCATTTTCAATTCTTTTTAACAGAAATATTTATCAGGGTAGGTGAGCTTGCACAATTATTTATTTGCTACTATGGATGAAACGGTAGGTTACTTACTAAAGTACGTTTCTCCTTATGAAAAAAGTAACATTAGGAATGATAATGGAGCTTAGCCAAATAACTAAATAGTTAATCATAGAGTTTTGAGCACGCTTTTGATTCATTGGAAAGATGGCATTCAAAGCAGAGAAGATACTCCTACTCTACCTACAATACATGTATACATAGGTAGACAGATTTTTCATTGGATCCCATCTGTTTAAGTAATTCTAGCAAGTAGAAGAATTAGAAGAATGTAGATAGCAAAACCTTATGTAAATAGGGATGAATGATTAAAACTTGTAGCAATTCCTCAACAATTTGAAAGATGACAAACACTAAGGGCAGAAAGAAGCTGCTATAATTGTTAATGTTCTCTGTTATAAGTAAATTTTAATAAAACCATAATCACAGACAGAAAAAACATCCTAGCAAGGCTTACTGGTTACTGCACATGCCCTGGAATGCATGGCTTAGATTTTACCTGCATTCTTTTATCTGCAATACCAAGAATTTGACCTAAATTGTAAGAAAGTAAGCAGTGACTTAAATTTGTCGAAGTAGAAGAATAACATTTCCACACCACGAAGCTGTGCTTATATATGTATGCTATTAGACAATGTATTATCACCTTTTTTAACACTCTTTCTTGGTAGTTTATCTCAAGGAAAGTTCATGTATAAACATAATATACCCAAGTTGGATGCACTAAACTAATGAGAAGTATTTATATATTATTAATTGATGATTAACTACTGCAATCAGTTAATTTAACTATCATAAAAGTAAGAGAGGATTAAGTGGATGTTTGGATTAACTTATGTCAGAGCACACAAAAGTTGACAGATACTTAAAAGAATAGTTATTCTCTAAACATGTACATGATTAAGAACAAGTCAATAGATTTGTTTATTGTGCGTGGGGTAGATATGTCATGTTCATATTTTTATTGGTCTATTACAGCTAACTTAAGAGTAGAAAATTTATTAATCAGGAGATATTTAAGTCTTTTATTTGACATTTATCTGATTCATCTATTTTAAATGATACTCCAATCAAGACTTCATGATTAAACGAGTACCAACAAGTTTTACCTTGTAAAATGGAGCTGAGTTGAATTACCTAAATATATGTCAAAATAAGCACCAACTATATATGAAAAAACTAATAATTGAAAGGCACAGACGCAATAGTGCTGCTGATTCCCATACTCAGATATAGACAATGTAAACCTCCACCTCTTCTTAATTAGCTTTATCTTCACTCTGCAAGAGAATCAACCATAACATGGCTCTTCCTGCAACAATTTGATCAAGAGGCACACAAGATTCATGTTGCCTCTTATTCGATTGCTTCAAAGTTAGGGAATTGTTTGTCTCATGTGCCTTTGACTTGTCGAATCCAAACAAAACCACAACTAAGGCACAATAGAAGAAGTTAAAATTTTTAAATAAAATATTGAAAATTAGAATAAGAAGAGAAAATACCAAGCACAGGGGTCCCTACCAGGCAGCAAAATGGGACAAGGGCGTTGACTGTCAGAGTGGGTTTAGGTTAGCTGCACGGCGTCGTTTAGCGGGTGTGCGGAACCCACTCTTCGAGAGACCAACGTGGCTTGCTACTGTTTCTCTTACTATGCCAAAAGTCAACTTCTGATTTGTGAGACCCACAGCTTGGCACGTGGGAGGTTGACGCGTGTTGAGAAGGGTCCCACACGGGTTGGAGATTACGTGCGCGAAGTGGGAAGTGTGTGAGTGGAGCCCACCAACTTGGAAGTGACGGTGCAACTGCAGTAATGTGCCATGCACGCGCATGCTTACTGTCACAAGGCACACCCATATATAATAACATTCTGATAACTACGTAGCTTCAACAAGAAAAATAGTAAGAGGGTAAAATGTGTTTTAGGTTATTGTTAAAAATAATAACTCAGTTTTAAAAATTATACTTTTAAATGAATGTATTGTGATAACTATCTTAAAAATTGTATTATTAATAATTTTATATTGGTTAATAATAAAAAATTACTTTACTAAATTAGTACAAATGACAATTTTGTGAGCAAATTGGAATACTCAAATTTAAGGTATATTATGAAATCATACGAGTCATTGGATTGTAGCTTACATTATAGCATATGGCCGCACCACGTTCTTAAAGTTGAACTTCTATGCATATACCATGAATTTAGTAAAACTTGGATGGATAGAATTATAATGATTTTCATCTCATTTTTCTTTTACTATTCTTATTAGAGGTCTTGTTTATTGAAAGATTAGATAACTACTCTTCAATAAACCTTAAAAGTAATTTGTTAAGAACAAGGAAGATTCAGTGGTAGCAGTCAAGTTGTTAGAAATAAGAGAAACATGATTCAGCTTGTGATGTCAAATTTACAGAATACAAATGAATAAAAGAATGATGTAATAATACTTTTGTGATAACTCAACTAGTTTCAGAGAGAAAATATTGTTAGGATTGTTTTTGTTATTGACATCTATCGTGATAGTGTCTAGCAGAAGGGACTAATTAAAACGTTGGGTACACAATTAATAAAAACGTTTGGTCCAATTTTTTTTTTATAAATATTAAAATAAGTCATTAAATTGATAACAAATATTTTATATTCTCTTACTTTTTTTATAATATTTTATTATTTATTTTTTCGAATTTTTTATCTGATAAAGTTATTTTTCTGTTAAATCTATTTAAGATGAGTTTTCACCTTCTTGTTAATGAGTAAAAATACTAGCAATTAGAATAAAAAAGAGTATTGATTCTCCTACCTTTCCTTTTTAGCTTCTTCACTATTTCTCCATTATTGGTTGTTCCTTTTCCACCATTAGAATATACCTTTTCACCCCTGAATCTCTATCACACTTTTTTTCATAGTTCAGAGGAAAACTTTCATGCCATACCATACTGAATATCATGTCAGAGTAGGTTGAATGCCTTTTATGTTTTCGTTGATCATCCTCTTCCTCTTCATTTTTGTTGATTTCTTACCTTCTTGATCATGGAGACAACAAACACATAATCAAGATTTTATAAACATTACTATAGATCAATTCCTTAAACCCTTATTACTTACACCCCATATAAAGTTAGGTCTTATTCTTGTTTCTCCTTCTTTAAATAAGACTAATTATTCTTCTTGGAGCACGAATATCAAACGAGTTCCTCTTCCAAGAACAAATTCAAATTTCTTGATAGAAGCATAAATAACTTATCACCTAATGATGCGTGGGAAAGATCCAATATGATGATATTATCTTGGATCATTAGAACGTTGTCACCTCAAATTATTGATAATGTTATATACATTGACAATGCTCAAAAGATCTATGAATTTAATTAAAAGAAAGATTTTCTAAAGGTGATTATTGTAACATATCTGACTTATTACAATAAATACATTCTATTAAACAAGGTATTTTCCCTGGTCATGCAATAAGAAAGGTAGCTCACAGGAATTAGAAGTATGATTACCAAGAGTAAGTCGTTAATCAACACTATTGAAAAACCGTGGTTGAAAAAGTAATGAATAAGAGTCTTAGAAGTCACAAGCAAGAGACAATGACTAATTGGCAAGGACAATTAAAAGGAAGAAGAATAGAAAAAGGAAGAGGAAGAACCCCAATTATGAAAAGTAATGTTTATTTTGTAATAAGATGAACTACGCAGTGGATGAGTGTTATTCTAAACACGAGTACCCATCATAGTATAAATAGAAAGGTGATCAAGATAGAGGTAATCATGTGAACAATCATGACTAAAACCAGATGTGTAATCTCAATACAAAGAAGATTCTTTATAACCTAACGCTTAGATTTTCTAAATAAGAAGTCAATTCTTTCACTAATGAGCAAATGTAAAAACTTTTGAAACTCTTGAATAATGCTGACAACATTAACCGCAAAGTTAATCATATTCAAAGAAATTCTATAGATTATCTAATTCTGAAAATAAGCAAGGTAATGATTCCTGAATTCTTGATATTGAAGTCATTGATCATGTAACTTATGTTAGAAATTTTTTTGTCACATTTTTCGAGATTAAACCTGTGCATGTTAAACTCCCTAATAATTCTTATGTCATTGCACATCAAGCTGGAACCATACAATCAGAAAATTTGATAATTTTCAATGTCTTATACATTCCTGATTTTAAGTTTAATATAATATCTATCTAGAATTTGATTAAAGACTTAAATTGTACACTTATTTTCTCTCATGATCAATGTTAGATCTAGGAAAATACTTCATTGAAGATGATTGGGTGTGCTAGCCTATGCAGATGATTGTGTGTGATATTTGTTACTATGCTAAACAACACAAGTTACCTTTTCAACATAGTACTACTCATGCTACAAACATTTTCCATTTAATTCATATTGACATATGGGGTCTATAGTTATACCTTTTATTCATGGTCATAAACATTTTTTTAACTATTGTTGATGACTTCAGTAGTCACACATGAATTTTTCTTATACATACCAAGGGAGAAACAAGAACTTTATTAAATAACTTTGTTATATATATGTGAAAATAATTTTGAACAAAATATTAAGATTATTGGGATTAACAATGGTCTGGAATTTGAGCGTACTGGTTTTTACAACAAATATGACATTTTACATAAAAAAATTGTGTAAAAACTCTACAGTAGAACTTTGTTGCAGAACGAAAACACCAACACATTTTAAACATAGCACACGACTTGAGTTTTCAATCTAATTTTCCTAAAGCTTATTGGTCATATGTTGTGAATTATGTTGTTCATCTTATTAATAGATTGTCTACTACTGTTCTTCTTGGAAAAACTGTTTATGAAATACTTCATAAAATACCTCCTACTTATTTAGATTTGAAAATTATTGGATGTCTCTCTGTTTTGCTTCTACCCTTGAAAATAGTTGATCAAAGTTTAACTCAAAATCTAGAAAATGCCCTTTTATGGGATACTAAGCTGGGACTAAAGGATAAATTCTTTTTTATATTAAAACTAGAAAAATCTTTATTAGTAGAAACTTTGTTTTTTATGAAAACATTTTTCCTTACGAAGGATTTAAAACTACTTTTGAACCTAATAAGGAAAATCAAGAAGATTTCAAAATTTCTTTTGATCCTATTATACATGGTTATAAAGATAATAACAGTATGACTAATGAATATAATGATATTCTTAATGACTCTTTTATGAGAGATCATCCAAATTTTTTAATAGAACATCATGAAGAAAACATTGATCCAAAGCTTATTGAATAAGAAAATAAAGACACTTACAAAATCCAGAGGCGGTCCAACAAAGTTAGAAAACCACCAGTATATTTGAAAGATTACCATGATCAGGTTAATCATTCCTTTACTAGTGAAAAATATTTGATTCAAAACAAGAAAGATACTTATCGACCTATTTGTCCTATTTCTTTTGTTTTTTCTATGATTATTTCTCTAAGAAACATTTAAAATATATCTTTACTATAACTAGTAATGAAGAGTCTCAAAGTTATGTTGAAACTAGTAAAAAACAAGAATGAGTTGATGCCATGAGAAAGGAGATAAAAGCTCTCAAAGACAATGAAACCTAGGATCTTGGTGATCTCTCTTCCAAAAAACTCTTCTACAACTAAGTAACTCTTCTACAACTAAGTTTCTAGAATGATTTTTTTGTAAAAGAAAAATACTTTTAAAATAAAGATTATTAGTATGATGTTCATTTTTTGTTTTCTCTATTAATATTTGCTCGAAATAATAGAACCTATATTTTTGACACATGCATGTAATAAAAAAATTCATATACCCTGTTTTTTAATATATGTTATTAGTAATTTGATGTACATTTTCAACTCTTTTACTTATATAAATATAATTATGATTATTTAAATGTGATTAATCAAAGTTTTATTAAAAATTTATAAGTGATGAATTATTTGCTTTTGAAATCTACAATTTGTAATAATATTATTGTTTCAAAGTTATGTGTATAAAATTTAAATATCAAATTAATCAAAAATTTCTTCTATTTTATTTCCAATTCAATTTCAAACGTTTATAATTAACAATCAAGTGTATTGCTTAATTCATTAAATTCATTTAAAGATTTTATAAAATTAAGGAAAGATATTACATAAGTTATGATTGTCGCACAAAAGTGCACATAGATCCTGGTTATTTTAAAAACATTTTCTACTTTATTACATTTAATAAATAAATATTAAAATTATATAGTAAATTATTACTATCTATTTAATTAATAATTTATTATTTAACAATTTTATACTTATAATTTAATTTATAATATATAGTCTTCATTAAAATATTATTAATTAAATAATTAATAAATTAATATTTATTTATTTAATTGATTAATATTTATTTGATAAAAATTTAAAAAGTGTAAGAAAAGAGATTTTAGTAATACAGGGAGGATGATTCAACGAAGTAAAGTTTAAAATTTTTATTCTTTAGTTAAAAATAATTTAAATACAAAAGTTTAATTATTTAAATTTTATTTATATAAAATCATCATTTTCTAAACTCTAAATCATCTTATTTTTCTCTAAAATCTCTCATTTTTTTCTTCTTCTAAATTTAAACATATTATCATACTCTGAGTAGGAAAAAAGAAGAAAGAAAGAATTTTATTCATTAAAACTTCTTTTATAAATAGATTTCTCATTACTCTTTTTTATATTAAATCTCTCGAAAATATGATTGTATGTGGTTTTGAGTTGTTGCATGTGGAAGCTTTTAAGGAAAGATGCATTTACATAGTAATTTCGGTCTCTTAATGAATTATAATTGATAGT